TTTTGAGGAAAAACAGGAATAACACAAGCATGCATTGCAATTAAATCTAGGGGTTATTCGAGGTAGCAGACCGTAGTTAAGAAGCAAGACGCAGCTGTGAGACCCGTCTCGTGACGTCCTTCCATTAAAAATGACGTCCTTACCGACTGTGACAGCCGCCCACCTGGTAGAGACTCTTTCTGTTTCTGCCTGTGCTGCTGTCTGTGTCTTTTTTAAAGCTCCTCCCTCACTTGACGCGCACACACACACTCACACTCCCAGAGTCACACACACTCACACTCACACTTGCACACTCACACTCTCACAGCCACATACGCTCACACACCCTCACTCACCCACACTCATACACACACACTCACACTCACCCTCACCCTCACACAGTCACACATGCACACTCTCACACTCACACACACTCACGCTCACACACTCATAGTCACACTCACACACAGTCGCTCTCACTCTCGCACACTCACACTCATACACACACACTCACACACAGTCACACCCTCACACTCTCACATGCTCACACTCATACACACTCATGCTCACACACTCATAGTCACACTCACACACAGTTGCTCTCACTCTTGCACACTCACACTCATACACACACTCTCACACTCACAGTCACACCCTCACACTCTCACATGCTCACACTCATAGTCACACTCACACAGTTGCTCTACACACTCATAGTCACACTCACACACAGTTGCTCTCACTCTCGCACACTCACACTCATACACACACTCTCACACTCACAGTCACACCCTCACACTCTCACATGCTCACACTCATAGTCACACTCACACACAGTTGCTCTCACTCGCACACTCACACCACACTCACACACACACTCCCTCGCACTCTCGCACGCTCACACCCGCACACACGGTCTCACACACACACACACCTGCTTCCTCTGGGAGCCTCGCCTGTCTACCTGGTCCCTGAGGAGCCACAGGGGCCACCGTGTGCCCGGCCCCGGCACACACCGCTGGCCCAGGATCGTGGACCACGGAGACCATCGCTGGGAGCTGGAAGTCAGAGCCAGGCATTCCGGCCCGCCGGCTGCTGCCTGGAGGCAGGTGCCATGCGCTCGTGCTCCGAGGTGGCAGTGGCTTCTCCCGGGAGCCCAGGACACCAAGAAGGGGCAGCCGCCGCGGCCAGCGAGAGGGTGGTGGCACTCGGAGCCGCGGGCGCAGAGGCAGGAGCAGCCCGGGCTCCAGAAGTGCCGTGGGAAGTTCGAGGGACTCCGAGCACCTTCTCATGAATCCGCCCTGCTCTGAGCCAGATCAAGTGAGGTTTCTCTCACTTGCATCCAAAGCAATCCCCACCAAAACCATGAGAAGAGATTCACCACAGTGTTCATAAGCGAATATTTCTGCCTAGCGGAATCGCGTGGTATTTATCTTTCCTTAGTCCCAGGGCAAGAGGCCGTCTTGAAGTTTGAATTTGTCTTATTCTTATAGCTTGAGACTTCAAGAAGGATGAAATCAGAAAGACAAACACGTGCACTTAGGTGTTGATCACTTAATACCAATTCACTGGTGAGTACATGTGGTGCCTGTTTTTCCATTCTTGGGATACTTCACTTAGTAGAACGGGCTCCAGCTCCATCCAGGATAATACAAGAGGTGCTAGATCACTGTTGTTTCTTAGAGCTGAATAGTAAGGGCAATATACGTAACCTAAACCAAGCTACGGCCCGCGGGCCACATGCGGGTGTTTTTGCCCATTTGTTTTTTTTACTGCAAAATAAGATATGTGCAGTGTGCATAGGAATTTGTTCATAGTTTTGTTTTTTGTTTGTTTTATTTTTAATTATAGTCTGGCCCTCCAATGGTCTGAGGGACAGGGAACTGGCCCCCTGTTTAAAAAGTTTGAGGACCCCTGACCTAAACATTTGTACCCCTATAATATGCCAAAATAATAAAAAAAAGGAAAGACAAATGTGTTTCTAAAGAAAAAAAAAACACAGAAAGAAAATAGCGGAGATTTCAAAGCCATTGAATAAATTGGTAATCTAGTTTATCTCTTACAACACTGACTATTTTCATCCTAATTATTTTCTACCAGGTAACGAGGTGAACACAATTACTCAGGCTGCACAGGACAGACAGCGTTCGCGAGAACCCGCAATCGCGCAGTTGCCTGAGAGCACTCCCAGGCTGGAGGAGCCGCGATCCGCGGACGGGTTGCCATGGCGTGAGGCCCAGGCTGATGGAAGCAAGCCCGTGAAGCTGCTGCTTGCAGGCCAGGCAGCTGTAGAGAACATTCTGGAAGGTCGTTTGCTGGAAGAACTACTATTCCGTGGAAAGAACCACTCCCATTTCCTTCGGCACTTTTGTAAATTCCCCAGAGGCTGGCTCAGCCACAGGGCCGCTGCAGACCCCCGCGTGGAACGTGCAAAGAAAGAGCTCACGACCCCCTGCAGGAGAGGACGAACTGGCCACTGTGGATTCGGGAGGCGGCAAGGTTATCTTGCCCGTCTCAGGTGTCGTGCGCAGGGAAAGGCTGACGCTGAGCTCACACGGAGGGAAGAGTGCCATCTACTGCAGCCAAGACCTCACTTCCGGCAGCCCCGTGGCCGGTCCTCGGAGGCTTCCCCCGCAGGACCCCAGGGGGGCTCCGAGGACGTGGGGAGTGACAGGACCAAGACCACAGGCAGCAGGACAGCTAAGGACGAGGGACCGTGCCACGCATAAGGCTGGTGGCACTTGTCCAAACCAGGCAGAATCACAGGGACGCCCGAGGTCCCAACTCCACGCAGGACCTGGGTGGGTGTGTGGGGAGGTGGGTGCGCCTGTGGGGTCCTGTGCATATAGTCACTTCATATAGTCACTTTTCCTTAGTTTCTCTGCGTGCAAATCACAGGTAGTGACACTGCACCAGCCGTCTACCTCACACCAAATCGCGGGGGACGTCAATTCGCCAGTGTTTGAAAGAGGCTGTGAGGATGCCTGGTGCTGTTACGATAACTGCCCCACAGAGTTCCCGAAAGAGCTTAAAGCAAGCTTGACGTCGCTCTGTTTCACTTGCATTCGTGTTGTCGAGCTACGCATCTGTGTAATTTGTACAGATGGGTGATACAATTTAAAACACTGATGCCCCATACAGAGGACGTGGGATGCACTCATGGGGGGGGGCAGGGGGACCTGGCACCTGTGCGGGTTGGATATTTGGACTCTGCACTGCTTCAAGGTGTGTCCACAGCCAGAGGGGCCTGGGGGTCGTGATGGGATTAGCTTGTTATAAACCTTGATTTCCTGAGGCAATAGGGTAGAGAAAACTGGATCAGAAGTAGACATGCACTATTTGGAGAAATAGCACCGAGTTCTGCCGGGGAATGAATGGGGAGCCCCTGTCTGCCCCTCAGGGTGTTTAGGGGAGAGGGCCCTCAGTGTGCACCTTGCTCCGGGTCCAGAGCTGCTGCAGAGGCCGCTGGAACTGGCCTTAGCGAGTGCCTTGTCCGGCCCACCACCGGGAGACAGACTTATCTTCCTGCCCCAGCCGGGCCCGGGCACACTCCAGGGGTGGCTTGGCCCATAGCGTGTGGAGACCCTGCTGAAGGTGACCCGGGCCGTCCGCAGCTCAGCCCCACCTCGGGAGGGCCAGCCAGTCGGATGTGGACCTGGACCGGCTCACGGTGAACCCGGGATTCGATCCCCGCCCCCATCAGCAGAGTCTTCTGCCTCACCAAGATGGCGGGACAGTGAAGCAGGTGCAGGGACGTTTTGGAAACTCTAGGTGTGAGCGATGGCCCCTCCCTGGCTGGGAAATCCGCGGCTGGAAGTGCAAGGTCAGGTGGACACAGTTCACATGAAACGGGCCTCACCTGCATGACCTCACCTCACCTGAGTCACCTCTTTAAAGACTCCGTCTCCAAATACAGGCACCTTCTGAGCTGTAGGGTTTTAGACATCAAAACAGAAATACCAGGGGACACCACGAATTTGGGGAAGGTGGCGTCACGGGAAGGCAGCACAGAACAGCGAGACAGCTGTGATTTTATTATCCCATTAGCAGCAGGATATGACAGAGAGCCTCAGTTATTCCTCTAGGCAGAGGGCCTAGATAAGAGGGAGATAATTTTGTGCATCACCAAACTCTCATTACATTTCCTTTGATGTTTTATTGCCGAATTCTTTTTTGCGTGGTGATATTCTGATTTAAGAGCAGGTAAAATACACGCTGCAGCCAAGAACCCATTCCAGGTACTATAAATACGTTGGCTAGTGTTTCCCCTTCCAGATTACTCCGGTGATAATTGATGTGGGTATGTTATAGTCCACTGAATTCTCAGCTGAATGAAGGCTCACAGGGAGGGAGCGCTCAAATATTTGAAATGGCCAAACCTTCTTCCTTGTTAAAATAGTAGGGCCATTTCAGACTTTCCAGAGGCAAATACGTGTGTCTACTCCTCCACCTTTGATTCATAGGCCCAGCAGCCTGTAACAATATGTGATTCAGGCATGAGTCAAGTAATGTGGTGAGTACATTACTAACTAATAAAATATCTTTTCTCCCCACAATCTACTGACTATCTGGGATAACTTAATCACACAGAAGCAAAATCAATGCTTAGTGCGGGGAAAGAGATAAGAGTCACTGGGACGCGGGCACGAAACTGCCCTGGAGAAGCCGAGGGTGTTGGAGATCAGGTGGGTGGGGGAGGAACGTTGGAAAGAACAGGCACTCACAGGCAGGAGTCTGCGGCCGGCCGGGTCCTCAGCCGCCACCCGCGCACGCCACGTCCTGCAAAGGTTAACAGATTGCCCTGCTTCACCCTCTGGGAGCCCACAGCGCAGGCTGGTGGAGAAGACGTGGCATGCTGGCTGTGGAAGGGTTCCCCCCCTGGGGGCAAGGACTTTTGAGCAACCTGAGAATCCAGGGAGTCTCAGTCTGGTTAAAGTGGCGCTAGGATCGCTCAGATCCCACCTGCTCGGAGTGGACCCCTGGGCCTTTCTGGCGGGATTGGTATGGCTGGGTGGGGGGTGGGGGCTTCCTGCGCTCCAGTGACGCTGGGCTCTGCAGGAGGATGTCTGTCCTTCCAGGACGCAGCAGGGCGTGTGCTCAGGTGTCCTGCCCGGGTTCACCCGCAGAGGTCTGGCCAGGTGGGAGCATCATAGAAAAGTAACTTCCCCTAGACGGAAATGAACGGGTGATGTGAGGAGCTGCCGCTTCTGGCTGCTGCCACCATGTTCATCCTGGAGTGACACAACCACCCCCTTGCTGCTTACCCGGTGGCATCTCTCTATCCCCTTCCCCAGGTGGCTGCCAGCGTGAGCTTTTCTTTCTTTTTTTGAGACAGAGTCTCGCTTTGTTGCCCAGGCTAGAGTGAGTGCCGTGGTGTCAGCCTAGCTCACAGCAACCTCAATCTCCTGGACTCCAGTGATCCTCCTGCCTCAGCCTCCCGAGTAGCTGGGACTACAGGCATGCGCCACCATGCCCGGCTAATTTTTTTTTCTATATATATTAGTTGGCCAATTAATTTCTTTCTATTTGTAGTAGAGACGGGGTCTCGCTCTTGCTCAGGCTGGTTTCGAACTCCTGACCTCAAGCAATCCGCCCACCTCCGCCTCCCAGAATGCTAGGATTACAGGCGTGAGCCACCGCGCCCGGCCAAGAGTGGTGCGGCTCACATGCACTGAGGTGCGGCTCACATGCAATGCAGTCTGCCCGTCTTACATGCACAGTTTGATGAGTCCTGACAAATGCACATGGCCACGACAAAGATTTAGGACATTTCCGCCACCCCAAAATGTCCCTCGTGCCCTGCTTCGGTGGACCCCCTCCCCCGCCACTCCCCGTGTCCTCTGACCTAGTCCCGCCCCTGCAGGGGTGCCTTTCCTGGAATGTCACACGGATGGAACGGATCACACAGCTCACGGTTTGTGCCCGGCCACTGTCAGCTCAGGGACTGCCCCACCGCAGGGCGTGTCAGGAGCGTGTTCTTCCTTATCGCTGAGCCATGGCCCACTGTGTGGACGGACAGGCCACGGTTCGTTTCGCATCCATGGGAGGACGGGCACGCAGGCTGTCTCCAGTCTCAGCTGCTAAGGGTAAACAGCAGCGTGTATCAGTTGCAGTTCTTCCGACACACACGTTTTCGTTTTCCTTAGGTAACTGCTCAGGAGCGAGATTTTTGACTCATATGTTACGTGTACATTTAACTTTATAAGAAAATGCCAACTGTTTTTCAAAGTGGCTGGACTATTTTACACTCCTACAAAGCAACGGATGAAAGTTTCAATTGCTCCACGATTGCGTTAACATCTGGTATTATCAGACTTTGAAATGTTTTGCCATTCTAGAAGATATTTTAGTTTTCATTTCTAAAACTAGTTTCGTTTTATTCCTAACTAGTCAGATGACTAATGGGGTTAAGTATTTTTGATGCTTATAAATCATATACATACTTTTTTTTTTTTTGAAACAGAGTCTTACTCTGTCATCCTAGCTGGAGTGCAGTGGTGTCAGCCTAGCTCACTGCAGCCTGCTACTCTTGGACTCAAGCGATCCTCCTGCCTCAGCCTCCTAAGTAGCTGGGACTACAGGTGCATGCCACAATGCCCAGATAATTTTTCTATTTTTAGTAGAGACAGGGTCTTGCTCTTGCTCAGGCTGGTCTCGAACTCCTGAGCTCAAGCGGTCCACCTGCCTCAGCCTCTCAGAGTGCTGGGATTACAAGTGTGAGCCATCGCACCTGACCCACATACATCTTTTAATTAGTATTTCTTCAAATATTTTTCTACTTTTATTTTTATTGGGCTGCCTTATTGAGTTGTAAAATTCTTCATACTTGAGGAGACAATATTGTTGAAAAGTAAGATATCTGTTTTTAAAATATTTTTCCCAGTCTGAGGATTCTTTTTAATTTTTCCTAAATATGTATTTGGAACAGTGGATTTTTAAAATTTTAACAAAACTAATTTATTTATTGATTTTGTGGTTTTATAGCTCACGATTTCGAAGTAGTATCTAACAACTTTGACTAGTCCAAAATCACAAGGACTTTTCTCCTAAAATGTATTATAGAAGATGTATAGTCTTAGCTCCTATGTTTAGATTTATGATCTGCGTGAGTTAATTTTTGTATATGGTAGGAAGCAAGGATTCAGGTCTCTTTTTTTTTTTATTTTTCACATAAATATCTAATTGTTCCAGCACCATTTGTTTCTCCATTGAAGTACCTCAGCATCTGTGTCGAAAACCAGTTGACTGCACGTGTTCACGTCTGTTTATGATACTTTAATATGTTCTAATATTAGTGTCCATCTTTATGATAATTTCACACTTCCTTGATTACCATAACATTACTTGAATCTTGAATAATGTAGAAATCCTACATTTTTTTTCTTTCTCAAAATTGAGTTGGATACTGTAGGTACATTATGTTTCACTATAAGATTTTTAACGTTTTTTGTTAAATTTATACTTAAGTATTTCCTGTATCTTGATGCTATTGGAAATAGCACTTAAAAATTAATTTCTTGTTCATTGTAGCTTGCATATAAAAACATAACAGAGTTGACAAGTATAGACTTTTTCTAACTCCTTTCCAATTCTTAGGCTTTGCTTTTCTATTTCCCGTTTGCTGAGAGTTTTTGTCACGCATGAGTGTTGGATTTTATCAAATACTTTTTCTGTATCTGTTGATATAATCAGATGATTTTTTTTCATTGTCGTGGCCAAATAAGGTTAAATACATTGGTTGACTTTCAAACGTTAAACCAATTTTGCATTCCTGGGATGTATCCAACTTGGTCATTATATATTATATCTTTTTTAATTGCTGGATTTGACTCACTAACATTTTTTATAAGGAATTTTATGGCTATATTTATGGTCTGTAGTCTTCTTGTAAAGTCTCTGCCTGGTTTTGGTATCACTATGTTGTTGGTGTCATAAAAGAAGGTGTTAAATGTTCTTTTTTTTTTTTTTTTCATTTTATTAGTGTTTCTGTAGAACTGGTATCGTCACTTGCTCATGTGTTTGGTAGAATTCACCAGTGAAGCCATCAGAGCTCACAAGTTTCTTCTTGAGGAGGTTTTTAAAATATGACTGTCATGTCTTTAATAGAAACAAGGCCATATGCATCTTCTATTTCTTCCTCAGTGAGATCTGATGGTTTGTGTCATCCAAGGACGTCGTTGCCTGTCGCACATGAGTTGTGGGATTTATGGGCTCACAGCTGTTCTCAGAGTGCTCATTTTCCTGTTAGTGTCTGTAGGCTCTGTGCTGATGGCTCCTCTCTCGTTCCTGACTTTGGGGCAGGACATAGGAAAGCCCCGTGCCCGAGGCTGAGATGCACAGTGATAGATTGAATTGATACCAGTATGCTTGGGTCTATTGAGTTTCCTCATTTTCTTTCTTAAGTGCCCAGGAAATTGGGGCAGAAGAGGTACAGGGTCCATTCACACTTCCGCCCTCTAGAACATTCCCCAAGAGCTCCCTCTCCTCGTGAGGCCAGGCTTCTTCAGACCACGCCTGCTGTCTTCAGACCCTAAACATCTCTTCTCTCCTGTTGCTTTTGAACCTCACGAAACACTGGCCAGTAGTCTTCATGTTCCCTCCGCGTTTCTGTAGCTCCAAACAAAGCACCCACTGCATGTTAAATTCTCAAGATAACGTCTGCAAGTGGGCTTGGGAATACCTGTAATGCCTGCAGCTCTGAGCCTAGCGTCTGGAGCACAGGAGGGGCCCAGAACAAACGGTCCCTGGGGAGCACAAGTGTGTGGACGAGTGAACCAAAGGCATCGAGGAAATGGAAACAGACACAGCCCGAGAGATCAAGTGCCTTTGATCCGATGGTGCAGAGAACTGTTACCCATAGCATGCACATCAGCATTCTTTTCCTGGTATTGGCGTCTTGTGTCCTTGTATTTTATGGCACTGCTCATTCTCGGCTGCTCAAAGTAAGGGAGGTGCATGTTCCTTCCTAGCAATGAGGCTCCTAAAAGGGCTCAACTAAACATTATTAAACAGAAGTGGAAAATTTATCTATGCTCAAAGCAAAACAAAGCAAACAAGCCAAATCTTCATTCCCCTTGTGACTATCTACACATCTCTGTAAAATCATTATTAGGTAAAATCGTGTTTCTCTGATAGCAGAGGAACCACATGGGATTGATAAGCTAATATCTAAAATTCTCCACCTTCATTGTTGTTGGAGAAACAGTCATAATTACTGAGAGTCTCAAGCTTGCTTTAGTGAACTGTATTATTAACTTCCATAGGAACAACAGCTCCTTGTTGAATCTCTCAAACACTCGGGCATTATGCTAACTATCTCATATTTATTACCTCTGCATGTACATAAAGCAACCATGAGATGGGTATAACTTTTATCCCTATTGTACAAACAAAACGAAACAAAACAGGCACTGAGAATATGCGATCGGTGCAGATTTCACAGTGGGTCACTGTAGAATTGGGATGGGAGCCAATATTGTCTGACTCCAAGTCTCACCGGCAGCCCTGTGTCCTACCACTGTGCTAGAATACTTAAGAATGATTTGCTGCTAGCCTGGCTGTTTAATTATAAGTGCTTGTCTTGAAAGTGCTTCTCTAAAATGTTTGAAATACTTGCCTTATGATTCTAAGGGGGCGGGGGAATCTTAGGACAGAAGTAAGAGAGGTTCAGTGCTCGCAGAATGGGGCTGAGATGTTCTTACCAAGGTCTGTTCCTCTCAGGTCACTCCCTGCAAGCCCTGGCACACCCGGGGTGGCTGCACGTTTAGTGGATTCAATGCAGTGAAGGAAGGTGAGTCAGCGCACACATGTGACAATGCCCATCCAGTGATGTCAGTGCCCATGTCATAGGCAGTTAGCACATGTATGACGATGCCCATCCACTGATGTCGACACCCATGTCATGGGCAGTTGGCACATGTATGACGATGCCCATCCACTGATGTCGACGCCCATGTCATGGGCAGTTAGCACATGTATGACGATGCCCATCCAGTGATGTCAACGCCCATGTCATGGGCAGTTAGCACATGTATGACAATGCCAATCCAGTGATGTCAACACCCATGTCATGGGCAGTTAGCACATGTATGACGATGCCCATCCAGTGATGTCAACGCCCATGTCATGGGCAGTTAGCACATGTATGACGATGCCCATCCAGTGATGTCAGTGCCCATGTCATAGGCAGTTGGCACATGTATGACGATGCCCATCCACTGATGTCGACGCCCATGTCATGGGCAGTTAGCACATGTATGACAATGCCCATCCAGTGATGTCAACACCCATGTCATGGGCAGTTGGCACATGTATGACGATGCCAATCCAGTGATGTCAACGCCCATGTCATGGGCAGCTAGCACATGTATGACGATGCCCATCCAGGGATGTCAACGCCCATGTCATGGGCAGTTAGCACATGTATGACGATGCCAATCCAGTGATGTCAACACCCATGTCATGGGCAGTTAGCACATGTATGACGATGCCAATCCAGTGATGTCAACGCCCATGTCATGGGCAGCTAGCACATGTATGACGATGCCCATCCAGGGATGTCAACGCCCATGTCATGGGCAGTTAGCACATGTATGACGATGCCCATCCAGGGATGTCAACGCCCATGTCATGGGCAGTTAGCACACGTATGACGATGCCAATCCAGTGATGTCAACGCCCATGTCACTGGCAGTTAGCACACGTATGACGATGCAATCCAGGGATGTCAACGCCCACGGCACGGGCAGTCAGCACACACATGGATGAAGAGCCTGTTGCTGGTCTTGGTGCCGTGCTCTTCATTCATCTGCTTTGCTTTCTAGAATAAAGCACCAGCGACTGGGAGTAAACTCAAACGGGCCGAGGCCTCCCGGTGTGTTTTAATTTTTCGTGCACTGCTTTTGGCAGCAGGGGTCCGGGCTCACTCGGGGCTCGAGGACTGACGCATCAGCCTCTCCGTCAGCTGTGGATTTTATTGTGTGTGTAGAGCGAGAGAGAGAAAAGCAAAACAAAACCAAAACGCAAATAAAGAAAACGACAACAACACAGCTCCCCGAGCCCCAAAAGATCCGTGTAGGACCCGAAGCTGTGCCGGACCGTGTCCCCGTCGGACGTCAGGGTGGGGGCAGGTGTGCTGCGCTCAGGTACCGGACGGTGGATGGGGGTGGGAGGCCCGGGGGGCGGGGGGCAGCGGGAAGCAAGGCTCAGCGTGCCACAGGGAAGAGGACAGGGACGAGGAGGCCGAGGGACAGACCCAGCAGTGTCCGCCGTGTCTTGGGCGACAGGGAAGAAAAGAATCCTGAGCCTCACCGTGAGCAACGGAGCGTTCGTGCTTCTTCCTCAGAGTAACATGGGAGCAGCTGGCCAGGGAGCAGGAAGGATCCTGGGTTCCAGGTCCCGAAGCCATCCTGCTGGTGTCCGGAGGGGCTGGTTCCAGGGTATGGCCTCAGAGGGGCGTGGCTGGGGACACGTGTGTAGCCGTGTCGTCCCGGGAAGAGACGAAACCAAGCGCTGGGGATGGTCTGCAGAGGGTCTGCAGGAGGCAGGGACCGCAGAGGGAGGCCCGGTCATGGCGGCAGGAGGCTGCAGGGGTGCAGGGTGGAGGGGTAGCCTGGGTGCGTGACCATTGCCGTGGCCACGGTGTTGGGCCTTCTGGAAGGTTCCTGCCCTCAGAACTGTGCTCCCCTGCTTCTCCACCTGTCCTGTCTGCTGCCAGGCGTCCCGGGACAGTTGTTGGGTGTCTGACCAGCCTGCGAGTTCCAGGACCACGGACGGGGACAGCCCTCGGCTCCCTTGTCTGCTTGCTGCGCCAGGACTTTCCTGCCCGGTCTGGATCTCAACATTTCGTGTGGCTTGTGTGTGACAGGTGCCAGGGATTTCTTGGCAAGTTGGTAGTATGTTGGTAGAGTGGAGAACGGCCCACGGGTTTCCTGGGCCAGGAATCTGCGAAGGGGGCGCCCTCTTGTTCCCAGGGACCAGCTCCGTCTTCACTTGCCGTGACCGAGCAGGGTCCACAGCTCCCTCGCTGCTGGGACCCACCCGGGCAGGGACAAGGCCCCGTGGTGCCTTTCCCGTTCGTGGGCGCGGGTCAGGCACCGACCGCCTTCCACCCAGGGCTCCCGGATCCCGTCCAGCTGGCAGCTCCAGCCTTAGGCTCTTCTGCTCGACCTGCAGCCCCACCGTCAGCTGTGTGGTTGTGTCCTGCAGATCCCCGCGTGGCCCCTCGCTCCCCGAGAGCAGCTGGAACGTCGAACCCTGGTTGAGGGGTTAAAAGTCGCTGTCGCAGTTCCGTCCCCGCCTCCGTCTCAAGTTTCAGACTCTGTTGCCAAGCGCGTGTGCAGATTCAGGAGTTTCATGCTTCAGATGAGATGCGGAGACCCATCCTTTTTCACGGTGAACTGATTCCCTGATCTTAGTACTTCTGCCTTGGAGTCTGTCCAGCCAGTGCTAGCAGTGCAGCAGTGTTTCCTCGGGGACGGGCGGGGAGGGCACTCGGGACCGGTCCTTGTGTCCCCTCCAGGGAGCCCCTCGTCACTCTCTCAGGTCCTGATACCTGCCCGGCGGGGACCTGTGTGGCCCTCACCGTCAGCCCTGTCTGTCTGGCTCCCAGTGGGGTTGGCCGATGGGGACCTCACAGGGGACTGAGGCAGCGGCCAGCAGGGTCAGGGCTGACTCCTGTCTCCCCCACCTGATTGCTCCTGGGTGCTGTACGCTCCCAAGTGCCACCAAGAAGGCCGGATTCCAGTGGGCTCTCGGGCTCCAGGAGGTGAGACCTGCCCGCGTCTGCTCAGCCCTGAGTGGTACCAGCCGTGTTCGCCCAGCCCTGGGCTTCCACGACCCGGTCCTTTGTGGGTTGTTTGTGAGCCAGCCCAGTCACCCTATTTTGAGAGGGCTGCCCGTTTCCTTTGGGGACACGGATGACACATGTGGCCTGTCTTAAGTCCATTTCTCTGCTTTCATTCTGTGTCATTTTTGTTTTGTGCATGTTTCCTTTAAACGCCACATAACTGAATTTTTAAAAACATCCAATCTGAAAACTCTTTATTTTTGAACAATTGATGTCTAATGAGTATCGTGGTTGGATTTATCTGCACTGCGCTATTTTGCGCTTACGATTTTCCACGCTATTTCTTTGCTCTTTTTGTTTCTCTTTTTCAATCTTGTGTTGTATTGATTAATTTTTTTATTACTTTTTTTCCTCCTCCGTTGGTAAGTTATGTACTCCATTTATATTCTTTCGGTGGTTACCCTTAAAATGCTAACGAGCGTACTTGACCTACAAAAGTCTAAAGTTAATCAATATCTCCACTCTTTACCCCGGCTCTCTGAGGGCTTCTCGGCTACCCAGTTATTCTTCCCGACGTTTCCCGCCTCCTGTTCACCCCTGTCACTCACCGCGACTGCCGCGGCGGGCACCGCGCAGCCTGCCTGGGCTAGCCGGGCGTTCCCGCGCTGTCTCACCACCACTGCTTCCTGGGTGCCCAGGCCTTGCCCTGGGCTAATTGTCCTCCTTACTCAAGTGTGTCCTTTGGTGATCTTTTTCAGTGAAGGTCACAGGGCTCCCTGACAGCACTTGGGTTAGGTACGGTCACCAGGTCACCAGACCGGTGCTGGTCGGCTGTGCTCACACCTGCCGCCCAGACCCTCCCCGGCTCCCTCATCCTGGCATGTGGCTCCACACAGTCCCGCAGTGACAGGGACAGGAGATGGGGACATGGAGGAAGGGTGGGTGGGCAGCCCTGCTCTGACACCACCCACTCGGTCCCCTCCCCGGGAGCGGCAGACAGACTGCCATCGCTGAATGCCGCGTTGCTGAGTCCTTTGACTTTTCACTTTTCACGGCACCTTCGTGCTGGCGTGGGTTCTGTCTCCTTGACCGGGCAGAGACTGGCGTATGACTTTCGGACAACTTGCTGAATTTGGAGTCCGTGATTTGGACCCACAGTGATGAAATATTCATGGGGAGTTCAGCTAGAGCTAGAGGACGCGGGGAGGTCAGCTCCTGTCCACTGCTTTGAGCTGTTGCTTATTTTTGAATCTCTCTGCTGATGGGCACATTAGAAAGCCCTCTCCTTGCAAGAGGACCCAAAGGCCAGTTATCTCACAAGGATCAGAGCTGAGAGGGGCTCCAACTGAAGTGTCAAGTCAGCAGGTGCATGCAGCATGCTCTAGCCGTCACCTGCAACGCTATTTTTGCAGGTGCATGGACGAGAGAAAGCGCTGATGGTTATACCCATGGGCGGGACCCTCTCAGGGCCGTGGGGTGAGGTGTGCACCACCTGCGTGGGGAGGGGGAGGCACCTGATCACGCCCCGTCCAGCTCCGAGGACCAGCCCAGCGCCCATGTCTGCACGGACCCCTTCAGCTGCCCTCAGCCCCAAGCAGATATCTGGGCGCTGGGTGCCAGGGGCAGCTTCGGGGAGAGCCGCTGGCGTGACTGAAGCTTGGACACCCGCATTTTGACACTGGGGATAGAGGAGAAACCCAGAAGGCTTCAGCTAGAGCCCTGACAAATCGGAGATAGGCGAATTGGAGCTTCTCTTTCTGGAATTTCAATGTCCAATCAGGTACCAAGGCAGCTGCTTTGATTTTTAGGTGGCTGAAAAAAATAAACATGTCCATGCTGTATTTATTTAATTTAAAAAATCCCATGTTTGCCTTACCAATAAAAAATAACTAGTAAAAAAAAGGAAAATTAACAATGCAAAGAAAGGAATAGGAGAAATATCTAACCCTTCAGGGAAA